TATGTTGCGAGGCGCATGTAACGTGAAATCGGAGAGGGTGTGGCAGATGCGCATGTTCAAGAGCTTATTGCATGCTTATTTTAATAAATATTTTAGTGCGCAAACAATTTTGAACAAATTTCATAAGTGAACAAAAGTTGAGAGCAAGCGTCGAAAACGTCAGATAACATATTCAAATATTTTACATTGGGGCAACATGGGGCGTATGCGCAACATCAGCTGTAGATGGAGCCGTAACTGGAGCCTGTTAGCTGATTCAGTTGAAATGCTGCTGGCAGCGCGTCAGCTTGATAGACAGACTGGAGAGCTGGTGGAGATAAAGAGATGAGAGAGAGGGGGAGAGGGAGAGGAAGAGGGAGAGATGAAGAGGAGCAATCGAGCTAGCTGCCATTCAACTGGTAACTGTGTAGCCAGTAGGAGCAGCAGGAGCAATCGGCACAGGAGTTTGGCAAACTGCCAGTTGCTGTTGCACTTGTTGTTCCATTCCTTGACTTGCCTCGACAAATGAAAGTCAGGTAGCAGGCAGCAAGCAGCAAGCAGCAGGCGGCATGTAGCACGCAGCAGTTGCTACAACATGAGGCAGGCTGCTGCTCGCCCTCGCTCTCGCCCCCGTCATGGCTGAGTTCTCTTATAGCATTTGGTCTATTCTGCACATGCAACGCGCATGGACATGTGCATGCAGGTGTGCCTGTTTGTGTAAGTGTGTGTAGCCCAGTTTATGCTGCGAATGCAATGCAGCTGAGAGTCACCTACATTCATTGCTTAAATTATTTCAGCTCTGGCCATTTGTGCCCTTCTGCATTCAGTATTTTCAAATGACGCATTGTTCGCATGTGCACATATACATACATAAGCATATATGTACATATGTATGTATGTATGTATACATATGTATATGTATGTGTGCACATCTGTGTGCTGCGTGTTTAATTCGCAAAACATTTGCAAAATGTTGCAAACTGTGAGGCAGCCAGACTCTCTCACACACGCAGCCATAGAATGAGAGTGAAAGAAAGGGAGGGAGGGAGAGAGAGAGAGAGAGAGAGAGAGAGAGAGGGATGGGGAGAGAATCAGATATTGTAGTGAATTGCGCGCATTGTTCATGGTTTCGTTTGTTGTAAGCCTCGCACACACACACACACACACACACACGTACACACACAGATACAGACACATCCGTGTTTGCTTAGCTTGTATCTGAAACATATCCCAGCTCAGCCTATGGATAAGATAACAATCAATATGTATAAATATATATTTATGTATGTGTATGTATATATATATATATATATACATATATAGACTTATCAATCAGTTTATACAGTTTATACATAATTCCGTCGATTTGGTATTATGTCACAGAGCGGAAATTAGGGCTTCAGGTAGACTTGAAATACGATTTAAATAACAACAACAAAAGTTGAACGTTGGCTTGATTTATCGGCAATATGGCAGTAAGAGCGTCTGCCAGAGGAAGCGCTAATTGTGCACATGTTGCAGTTGGAGTTGCAGTTGCACTTGGAGTCGAAGTTGCACATGCCGCATACACACACATTTCGCGTTGGCCTAATTTTCAAAATCGGGATCTTTATCGCAGTAGTCGTAACTCGTAACTCTTACAGCTTACAGCTCACAGCTTGCCACATGCGACTTGCAGAGAACAATGTAAATATGCGCGAGGGACTGCGGCAGGATGGGCTGCTGATGGCAAAGTGGGGACGCGAAACGCAGTCGCATAAAACGGAAAGTGCAGCAAATTGTGGCAGCTGCAACATCAATTTTGTTTCTCTTTTCTTCTCTTCTCTGTGTTTTTGTTTCTGCTTCAGAATACTGGCATTCGCCGATCGGCGGCGCTGCGGCAGGTTCTGCTGCCCGTTGGCCGTTGGCCTTTTGCCAATCATTTAAAGGTGCCTCTTCCTTTCCACTAATGCGAGTTGCTGTTGTTGCCATTGAAATTGCGACACGCAAATTGTAAGCGACGGCATAATCAGGCTTTAATTGTTCTACGCGGCAACAAGGCCCGACAGGCTGGAAAAAAGTTAATGGCAGCCTCAACTAATCAACACGAGAAATATGTGAACAAATATGAAAAAAATTTTATTTGAAAATATGGAATATTTATACTCAAAATGTGAAAAGTTTTATTTGGGAGAAAATAGCTAGAAAACCATAAATTCAGAATCTGTAAAGCATATAGTTAAATTAATGTAGACAGATTTTGAGATATTTATTTTTAAATATTTTACATATGAGTAAATTGTTGGAAAATAATAAATTCAGATTTGCTTTGATGAAGAAGTCATAAAAGTTGACAGTGTAGAAATCCTTGAAATTCGGGAGTAATTCTTATGCAATTACATGTTTTAAAACGTTAGGCTTGTATTGTTTTATTGGATGATACATATATACGTATTCTGTTATATTTAATTATAGTTATTTAATTATAATCACAATATTGTCTAAGAAAAATTGACCGATAACATCTCATCTGATTAGCAGTCTATTGGTGTTAATCAGGATTGTATTTATGTATTATGAATTGGTAATTCCATTCTATCAGCCTTTAAGATATCTCAGTACAATAAATATCTGGAAACTCATTCATTGATAGAACTTCCATATATCTGAGTAGATATTCTTAACTGGCCCAGGGCGAATTCGTAGACACTTCAACACCTCAAGTGGCCAACATCTTGCTACACAGTTACACACACACACGCGAACACACACACACACACACACACGTCCCATTGAACTTTGTGAAGCGCAACGAAATGTTGGCAAGTTGAAACACCAAAAAAAAAAGAACAGTAACAAAACGCAAGAAGTCAAAAGGCAACGGCAAAGGACGCGCAAAAAATGTACACCTGTGCCGTTTTTTATGAGAACAAAATACAAAATACAACAGAGACAAACACAACAACAACATAAGCAGCAATAAATGCGAGTAACTGCGAGGTTAAAAAAATGGCGAAAAAATCAAGAAAATGACAACTGAAAAAAAAAAACGCAGCAAGTGTGTGTATGTGTATGTATGTGTGTGTCAGGTCTTACAAAGCCAAAGCATAACTTACAAGCAACAGCAGCCAACGGCAATAAAAAGCCAGAAGTGAGTGTCCTTTACATTTTTTTTTTTTTTTTGCTTTTTTTCCTTTTTGTTTTTTGTACCTCTTGCTGCTTCCTGCCAGCGTGAAGTTGGACTTGGCCAACGCTCATTATATAGTCAAAGACCATAATTATGTGTTGAAGTCTGTAGATGTTTTAAGTGAGTGAGCAGAGAGGAGAGACAAGCAAAGAATAACGATAATAGCAGCAAAAATAAAATAAAATAAAAGGACTGGCTAGAGTGGAAAACAAATACAGTTGCCTTCGTAAGCCACGATAGCGACAGCTGAGCTGAGCTAGGATAAACGCATACAATTAGCAGCAAACATTTGCTTATCTCTACCACTACACAACAAGGCGTTTTCTGCTTCTGTTAATGGAACTCTGTTAAATTACTATACTCATAGATCTATTCCATGATATTGTCCTATTATTCACATCTACCAATCCATGTAAAGTATATGAAGTAAAGCCCAGTTAAAGGTATTCGAATTCACAATTAGTTAAGTAAGGCTGATCTCGATTTAATTTTGAATATTATAAAGAAAAGTTCATGTTTAAATTGAAATATTTCTAATGAATTTTCTGTTTATCTTATAGATTTTGAACCAAAGGATTTAAAAAACAACAACAACAATTGAAGGCGAAATTTCACTTTGGCTAATAATCAAACAAATTTCAACTCGAATGCTAACCAAAAATTCATAAAATCGAAAGCAAATCAACTAATTAAAAATGTATTAAATTTATACAAACAAAGATAAATAATAGCTAACTAAATTGAATAACAAATGAAGCGATAATGTTTAATTAATTCGTAAGGTAACCCAACAAACAAACAAACGGAAGACAAAGATTTTTAAAGCTTAAGCCTATATATTAAGTAATATTATATAGAAAAGCAACAAAAACAAACAAAACCCATTTTCGATAAAAACTGCAACTATTTTTTATATATATAAACATATTAACAACAAATAAACGCAAATAAAATTTTAATGCAAAACCAGAGTACAAAATTCATAAGCATCAATTTTACAAAGTATCACACAATATCAACAAGCTAATCAAATCATATATACATACATATATATATAATATATATATATATATATATATATATATATATATATATATACGTATACATACATATATATGCCAATAATGAATTAATGAATAAATCAAACAACGCATACAAAATACAAATTTACAACTTAAAACTTACAAATTACAAATTTACAAAACAACAATTTTTCAAGCAAGTCGCAAGTCTGAGACCCAGCACAACAACAACAGCAGCAACAGTAACCGCAACTACAACAAATATAATTTAAAGTAATTAAGCAAACAATTAGCGAATATCTAACAATTTTCATTTCGCATGGCTGCCGTTTACAACAACAAAAAGAACAACAACAACAACAATATCTTTCAACACGACAATTAAAGTACAAATCAAATAAAATTTTGAATTTTTCAACTTACAAATTTTGGAATAACAAGTAAATAGTAGTAGCACTTATACAACAATTAAAAAATATGAATACAACAAACAAATAATTATATTTATATATCTAATGTAAGAATAATATTCAAATACAAATTTTACAAACAAAACAAAACAAAATATGCACAAAGCACGCGGACTACGCGAGTTCAAAGTTCAAAGTATAAATTAATAAAAAGCCCAGAAAAATTAAATCAATTTTCAAAGCAACCAACAAATCGAACAAATCGAACGTAAAACTACCTCAAGAGCAGTGAGCGTGTACAAAACGAAAAGATTTCAATACGAATTACGAATTATCTAACTCTGCCAACCAGTGTGTACAAACTATATAAATATATATACATGCATGTAGATATAAAATTTTCCACATTTGACACTTGAGCCCGCTCCCGTTCCCCGCGCAGTTTGGTCTGGACTGCGCAGCCATGCGATTGTGCGGACTTAAATGGCGTCCACAATAATCGCACAGAGCAGCACAGGCGGCCCCGTCGATCCGTCAACTGCAACGAACAGCAGCAGCACTAGCATCAACGCCAGCAGCAACACTCTGCCGCCAATATCAGCAACAGTTGCTTCGGCAGCTGCTGACCTGCACAATACGCATCTCAATCAGCTGAACAGCCTCAGCCAACACTATACGACGCCGTATCATCATCACTACCAACAACAGCACTTGCAGCATCAACATCACCAACAGCAACACCAGCAACATCAGCAACAGCAACAGCAGCAACAGCAGCAACAGCAGCAACAGCAGCAGCAACATCAGCAGCAGCAGCTACAGCAGCAACATTACCAGCAGCAGCAATCGCTAGCGGAACAACAGTCTCAGCACTGGGACTATTATGCACGACAGCAGACAACGGCGCCTGCCAACAACATCAACAACACCAACAACAACAACAACAACAGTAGAAACAGCAACAGCGAGAACAACAACAGCAGCAACGCCAATGTTGCAATACCCCTGGGCAGCAGCAGCAGCAATGCTAATAGCACTGCTGCCAGTGCTAACAATGGCCACAGCCACGGCCACGCCCATGGGCAGCGTATTTATGGCACACACAACAGTGATACCGTTGCTGCCGCCTCCGCCGCCGCCGCTGCTGCCGCAGCAGCAACAGTAGGCGCCAACGGCAACAGCTCCAACGCCAATTCCAACTCCAACTCGAACTCCAACTCTAACGGCAGCTACACACGTCCCTGGGAAATGGAGTCCAAGGACAATCAGCCGCCCCAGAGCCAGCCCCACCCACAGTTTCAATCGCAGACGCAGTCGCAGCCGCAGCCGCAGCCGCAGTCGCAGTCACAGTCGCAGCCAAAGAGCGGCTTTGAGCCCTTCTCAAAGCTACCCTCATTCCAGAGCCAATTCCATGGTTACAATGATCAGCTCATGCCGGACGGCACGCCCATGCCGCTGCCGATTGGAGCCGCTGCAGCAGCAGCAGCAGCCGCCGCAGGAGCTGGGCCTGGCGCTGCTGCAGCAGGACTCGGTTCTTTGCAAACGGTGGCCATGTCGCCGGCGAGCATCTCGGTCAGTTCGCCGGGCATGATGAGCGTCGGCTCGCCGCTGACGCAGTTGCCGGGCATGCAGACCAGCATCACGCCGCCGTCGAGCAGCTTCACGCCGCTGGGCGCTCCGCCACCGCCGCCGAATGCATTTCATCACATGCACTCGCATCATCGGGCGACCGGAGCGGGCGCCTACCCGCTGATGCCGGCAGCCACGGCTGCCTTCGGCGACTTGCAGCTTTACCAGCCCCTGACGCCGGGCCTCCCGCCCCTGATCAAGAAGGAGTCGATGGCTCCGACGGCTGGCGCGGACTATGACATGCTAACGGGCAGCATGCTGCTCAAGAAGGAGGACTTTGATCTCAACAGCAACAGTGGCGCGCACCAGCAGCTGCATGGCCACCCTGGCCTGGGCGTGGGCGTGGCTGTAGGCATGCACACGCCCACATCTTACGACGGGAACAACAGCAACAGCTTCCCGCACGCAGCCAGCAGCAGCGGCAGCCACACGCCGCACACCACGCAGCCGCTGACGCCGACGCCGACGACGACGACGGCACCCATCAAGGTGGAGAAGCTGCTGCAGTCGCCGATAGCTCGGCTGGACGCGCGAAAGAAGGAGCGGCGGAAACAGCGGCCCAACTCGCTCGAGTCCAGCGCCGAGAGTGAGGCCAGCGGCATGGACGTGGACCCCAGCGGCGGCAATCCCGGACAGGTGGATGCCGTTAGCAGCACGGCCAACTTCAAGAGTCCGCTGAGCGCCCTGGGCATGGGCGACAGCAACGATGCGAACGCCAGTGGATGCGACAAGCAGGTAAGTTCCAGTGGAGGGCGCGTTAGCGGGAGCAATAATTGGCAAACGCTGCGAATAATAGGAACACCCACCCACAACCATAACCTTACACTACCACCAACAACATCAACAACAACCCCCCAACGCCAACCACTCCACCAACAACAACTCCTTCTCTTCTTCCGCCTCTGTTTTGCAGTCGAAGAAGAAGCGCAAGCGCTGCGGCGAGTGCGTCGGCTGCCAGCGCAAGGATAACTGCGGCGAGTGCGCCCCCTGCCGCAACGACAAGAGCCACCAGATCTGCAAGCAGCGCCGCTGCGAGAAGCTCACCGAGAAGAAGGTAAGTGCACAGACACATACACAAACCGTAAGCCAGCTGGCCATTCTGGCCAGTCGACCATTCAGTTTTTAAGATTTTCCCAGGCTCTGATTCGAGCTTGGTCCCGCAGCAGCACTGGCTTACGCAGAGCCGTTCGATTCCATTCAAAAAAGTTACTCAATGAAATTGCTGCATCTGCTCACCGCGGGCACTGACAAGGCCTACTGAAGGCACAGTGGGCTAAATCAGTGCCACTATGGCAAGCCGGTTTCCCACTCACTGATCATTTTGCATATGTTTAGGGAATTTTTGATTAGTATCGCACTCAGATCGTAGATACATACATACATAGTAATAATATTGTTTGCTATTGATAATGGGATTTTGGGGATGGGATTGTGATTGTTAGTCACATACAATAATCGAATATTTAGCTTCTATTGGCAATTTAATTGTATCGAAAAATGGACTGCGATTAACTAAAAACATATTCAATTATTAAAAAAAAAAAAAACGAAAATTGCATCGATCTCTAGAGTATTGGAGAAGCACCACACGTTTCAGTATCAACAATACCATCTAGTTATCATGAATTGAACGCCACACATCTTACGAATGAATTAATAAAAAAAAAAAACTTTGATCAGTTATGCAATTACTTTTCGTCGATTAATTGAAACGAATATTCACGTAGCTTAAATTAATCAAATGATTAAATAATCGATTAATAATTGATTTCGCCATCTTTATTTTGGGGCTCCACTGTAGCGCAGCTAAATCGGTGCCAGTGCAAACTGGTTTCCTTTTTGCCGCTCGCGGCCACGAGAGTTCGCGCGGTCTTGCGCTCCAGCGGTCAGTCACTCTAGATTTATGTCAGCGCAGATGGAACAGATGTTCCAGCTGGAGCCAGTGCAAATTAATGTAACCCCTCCCCTTTCAAAACATGCAACTGCATTCGCCTTCGACAACGAATTCGCCTTTGCTTTAGCAACTGCGTTCGTCTTCACTTTTGCCTCTAAGTTCGCCTTCGCCTTCGCCCTCGCGCTGTGCATGGCCACATATTCAACTAGTAACCTACAAGCACGTTTGCGTGTGTGTATGCATTTGTGTGTGCCTCTGCTTAAGTACTTGCGTACGTGCACTTGAGTGCATTTGGAGCATTCGCGTATCCTTAAGCTCGCAGCCTCACTGCCTCAGAGCTACCGAAGCAGCCGAGAGGAGGAGTTTTGCTTCGTTTTCCATTCAGCTTACATTGCGTTTCGAAATCACTTAAGAGCCTCGCCGCAGGCTGCGCATATCCTTAAATAAAATCAGGTTACACTCACACACACACGCACTCTCATACACCCGTAAATGAATATGCAGCTGAAACTACGGCCAGGCGGGTCCATTTTGGACTCTCAAGTGGCTGTGGTTATGTGATGTCTTCTTTGCTGGCTGCTTGACAAGTTCATTGGCCGAGCAGAGCAAAGGATATCTCAAGAGGACTTAAAAGGTACTCAAGAATTTATCATTTCGAATATTCCACATATGTACATAAAGCAAGCTAACATTTGAAATTGAAGTCAGCTGTTACATATGTATGTATGTACATATATCGATTTTGCAATTGATCGTGCTCTCTATCGCATCCTCTCTCTCTCTTTCCCTATTGTTCGCTTTCCTTAAAGTATTAGCAGTAAGGTATAAATTAAGGTCATGTTCACGGATGTGAATCGCTTCTATTTGGACGCGCTTCGTACGCCTCAAATTTAAGAGTAAAAGCTGAAGTAACAACAAAAACGATAAGTAAGAACAACAACAAACGCAGTGCGAATATGCAGTATGGAATAAAACAACAATAACACGATAATAACGAAACGAGGCAACAGAAACAACAACAGCAGCAGCAATAACAGCAATAACAGCAATAACAGCTACAACAAAAGAAAAGCAAACGTCGCGACGTTCGCAGCCGCTGCCGCCTGCAGGAGCAGATGTTCACAACCTACACATACAAACGATACTAACACACATGCAAAAACAGAGAGTCAGACAGAGCAGACATAAGTAAATAAGCGGTTGAGCGCAACGTTTTGTCTCGCTGCTACGATCAACGCCGGCAGCGAAAGCAATAGCAAGAGCAACGCGACAGCGCTGCTCGCAGAAGCAGCAAACAGGAAACCGAAAAAGAAGCGAGCGCGTACATAGTTCCAGCCGGCATGAGCGCGAGGGAGATAGCAAAGAAGATAGTTAGGAGAGCGGAGACAGCGAGCGACTGGTCACACAATCAAGAAGGAGGTTGACAGAAGAACGCGGACAGCGCTGCGCCTGCGCTTGCGTCCACGTCAGCGTCACAAAAGGTTGTCAAACAAGAAATGGCACGCAAAGAGACGCAGCCGATCGAAGCTGTCTGCTATCTCCTGCCGGCTCTGTTCCTGCCCTTACTGTTGTCGCTGTCTCTCTCGCTGCCACTGCCACTGCTTCGAATGACGACACACATAGATAAAGTTGTAAATTTTGCAGTCGCTGTGACATGTCAATATACCCAGCACACACACACAAATACACATAACCATCCACACATAAATTGTAGACGGCCAGCCACGGTTGTTGGCAGCTCTTCCTTCCGCGCTTGGCACACAATTGGCGCTTTATTTTATATCTTCCTCTGCTTTATCATCATTATTGTTGTTGCCGTTCGACACATGCATCCCGCTACACAAACACACATACATACATGCGAAAGGTCCCATGTGCTCTTCGTTTGGGCAGCCACTGGAAAGGCAATGCCCAAGACACTGTGCGACAAAAAGTTTAATTTGCAATTTCATACTGCCCCGTACATATGTACATACACATGTATGTATGCAATTGAAACTACAGCAGTTATATAGCGCAGGCTGCAATTTATTCTACTCCTATAGAGTATATTTTTTTTATATTATATTATTCTTTAAATTATACAAGTATGAGACTTAGTAAATTTTACTTAGTAGTTTCAATGGTGTATTCTGTTTCGCTGGTCTTCACTTTGTTGTTTCACAGTGTCAAAATGATCACACACACACACACACACACACACATGCATACATAAATACATATGTATGTAAAATTAATACAATGATGTCGTTTTCTTTCTTCTCTTTTGCGGAAGTTCTGTGCTCTTCAGCGAGTACAGCTGGTTGCCAATATTTCGGCATACTGTTGTGATTACGTATCGCTTGTTCTTGATGTCGTTCTTGTTGATGTTGTTGTTGTTTTTAGTTGCTGCCACAAATCGAATGCGGATCAATGCACTTCATGTGTATTTCTGTGGTATTTGTGCAGCTCTTGTAATTCAATACGCTGCTTTTGCTGCCGTCAGTTTCTGCGAGTTTTTCAGGTTTTCGGGCTTTGGTTTCTGCCCGACTGGGCAGCTGGTCACACTCTGCATGGAGTCGGAGCCGTGTCCTCATCTGCTTTTACTTTCACAAATCAGATCTGAAAATAAAATAAAAATAAAAATATAAAATGCCCCCAGCACAAGTCATTAACTTGGCTATTTGAATTGGGACCGTCCGCACACTCCGCTTCGCGCGCCTAAGTCTGAGAGCTGAGGCCGCTTCCTGTCGCAACTCGCCGCAGTGTCCCTTCCAGCTCGCCAGTGCCTTAAATATGCAGTTTTTCTTAAGAATTTTCTCATTAAAATGCTTTTTTCATTTCGCATTTTATTTCCATCGTCTCTTTCGTCAAAAGACTGGCAAATAAGGCAAATCAACGACAAGAAGAAGAGCAAATATTAAAAGGCGTCTGGCCCAACGAAACTCGCCGCCCAACCCTCCCCCAAAATGGCGGCCAAAGGCAACCTTTGCGTGAGTGCGGGTATGAGTGATTGACTTGGCAGTGTCCCGCCATACCTATTCCTTGTATTGTCCTTGCTAAGACTTTTTCAATTTCACTTTTGTGGCCGCCTGCCACACTGCCAACTAGCGACTGGCTACGACGGGCAACGGCAACGGGAACTTGCAACGGTAACTGGCAACTGGCGGCAGCAACTTCATCAAGCTAAATGCACTCCACTGAGCGAACTAACCCTAGCCCTCTAAGCCACCCATGACAACTTAAAGGTTTCACTTCATGCATACTAAATTCGAGCTGCCAGCAGAAAGTAGCTGGCACTTAGTATGGGGAGTGCAATGCTCCTACTTGAGCACACATCGTTTCTGACATACTCCCAGCACTCGTCCTCGTCCTCGTGCTCCTTCTCGTCCTCAGGCCTGTGGCACACATCCACATTCACTCGCAGGCACAGCTCGCATTTTAGCTCGTTGGCCTAGCCGGGTCGTGTGCAGGATAGCATATATAGACAGCACGATGTTGATAATGAGCTTGTGAACTTAATTATCTTCGCTGTCAAGCATGTGCATGTCTCTGTGTGTGTGTGTGTATTTGCATTTTGTATTGTGCAATCTGATATAATGTCGTGGTCTGACATATCCAGTTGCACCAGCACACACACATTCCCTCCCTACCTTCCTCTCTCTCTCTCTCCGTCTCCTGACCCTGCTTTATCATACATACCTTTCTCTTGCTTTGATGCAGAGTTTCATGTTTTTGTTTCTTAGATTTTTATAGCAAATTTCAAATTTTGCTGCTATAATTGACGCTTATGGCCAGGTGCTATGCTTGTCTCTGGTACAATGCTGCTTCAATCAGTCAATTTGCTGCTACCATGCAATCTACAGAGAAAGAGAGAGAGAGAGAGAGAGAAGATATACTGCTCAAGGCATGGATAGAGAGTTCATTGCACTAAATGGAAAGACAAACTGTGTCCAGTTGCAGGCTCTGCCACAAATCCGATTGAATTTTTGTTTTATTTCCTTGGGCTGCTTCCAATGCATATTCATCTGTCGAGCATACACACAGACACACACACACACACATACTAAAACACTCGGCCGTACGCATAGAGGCAAACATCTGCATTTGTTTCTCGCTTCCCTGCACATCTGCTCGCATTGTTCGTTTTTATATTTTCCTGTTTTTCTTTGCCTGAGCCTCAGCCTGATCCTTCGTCCTGCTCTAGGATTTAAAACAGACGTGCCGTATTTCTGCTGCACTTACTTCAGTCACTCTCTCTGTCTTCCTTTCTACTTCTCTCTCTCTCTTACACTCCCCGTATATATATTCACATTTGATCCACGCACGCTTATGAGTAAATACTTTCCATATATATACACACATGAATAGAAATATATATATTTGTGATAGACAAAACTATTTTACTTTGCTTTGAGCTGTGGGGGCGAATGACTTTTAAGCGGATTATGCACAACTACAAATATCCTATACAGTCTCTCTCTCTCTCTCATTTTGAACATATATAAAATTTTGCAGCTAAATATATTGTTTTCGTACATCAGATATATTTTATTATTATACCCTTAGCTTGACAGCTCGGCTAATATGTTAATGCAAGTCTATGAGTCTAAAGGAAATAAATATGTTTTAATATGTTAATGAGAGTATATTTTAAATGAGATCAGGAAAGAAATATGCAGGTTTTCATGCTGAATGCACAAGTGACAAAAGTTTCATAAAATAATAGAATGAATTTTCCAAATGATGGATGATGGATATGATATGGAGCACTAAAATTATTAAATAACTCATATACTAAAATGAGGAGTTTTAGAAATAATTAGCACATCAGCTGCACCAAGAAAGGCGTCCATCGTCATATCCGCCTGTGTATGAGTATATGTGCATATAAGTATATATATGTTTGTTAGTCATAAGCCTGTCGGCAATTAGAGTGTGTTTTTTTTTTTTCAAATCTAAATAACCACTGCTGTAACATACATATACATATTTTGCTTTATAAACACACATTTAAACATACAGTTTATTCCTCATTTTCCGTTTTATTTTAATTGGAAATTCGCTTTTTATGCTAAAATGATTTTAATTTAAATACATTTTTCTATTTTATTGCAGGAACCCAAATCAAAGCCCGTACGTATACACCATTTATTTATTTAACAAATTCCATTTAATTCTATTTATAAACACGCACAAAAAAGACATTTGCATTAGATTTTGAAAAACATTTTATAATCAAGTTCTTATCTTTTAGATAAAGAAATCGAGTAGATTATTCCAAGAATTTCTCTTAGAATTCATATATATGTAATACATAAATGTAAATGTCAATAAGCTTATGTGATAAGATCAACAATTTATAGATTGCCTAGAGGAACGAAATCTAAACTCTCATCTATGTTTTTTATTTTTTATTTATTTATTTTTTTTTTTGAGTCTTTTAGAAAAAATTGTCTTGAGAGTCCGATCTCATATATATATATATATATATATAAATATATATATATATAAATATATATATATATATATATATATATATA